TACCTTAATACTCGCTTGTCATAATAATTATTAATTATTAATGCATCTGTATGGTAATCCAAGGGAGGCACAAAGCTGCTGCAGCTTAAGCTTGAAAGCCAGCTTCATATGGTATTTTTTCTTATTTGCGATCTGGAGCATCTTGAGGCTGCTTCAGATCGCGTGAAAAAGGGTGTAGTATACCCAACGTTATGTTATAAGGATGCTTCAAATAACTGATTATGATAAAGGACTTACGTTTGTGGACGAATTCGTGATTTGCATGCAAAACTTGGAATGCATGGCAATAGCACGGTGTAGCTCTCCGGCACACGACACCTTCCATGTTAGCTGTATAGCAGGGCTGCCAGAGGCTGGTGTGTTCATCGATGTTTCTGTGTATACTGGCCGCTGAAGGCCAGGTAAGTGTTTATCAATTATCTATGGTGTTGATGTGCGTATTTAGATGGGCGTGGATGTGCTTGTATACGGGGTCGACTTGAGGAGGGAGTTGTACCAGCCAGTGCTTCATTGCAGAAGGAACACTGCCTCTTTGCACAATTCGTAGGACCCCATGCTGGTCTCCTCATTACTTTGGAGATAGGGTCATAGGTCAGTTGTCTTCGGCGAAAAAGTGTCCAGTACTGCAATTCCCGCACGGTTAGAAAGGCAGGTGCGGGCTGCTCCCCTCTCCAATGTTACAGCGAAGAGCACCGTTTAGTGGTGAAAACGATTCTCTAGAGAATAGAAGAGAATAGACGGAATATTATGGGGAATATCTGGATGTATTTCTGCTAAATCTCTGTCAAATATTCGGTCTAACAAATGAGAGTGACAAATATTTGCCTTTTGGCTGGAGGAAACAAACGGCTTGACGCCCTATCGAGTTGCTCAACAGCCATCTAAGCAGCCCACCAAACCGAAAATGCAGCAAAAACAATTCGTGAAGGAGTCCTCCAAGCCAACCGCCTGTACAGGATAGGGGCCACCGTGCGTGGGCAGCGGAGAAATTCCCAGCATCTCTGGAGGTGTATTTTCGCCTTCAAAAACTACATACTGGCATATGTCCCATTAGAGGGGGAAACATGACATTGATGGCTGATGATGATTTCGAGGTAGACGTTGAAAGGTACCTCTTCTCCAGGGCACATTCAGCCTATTGGAACTCTTCGAAATGCGTTGCGGTGCCATGCCACCTCGACCCGCCAACAGGAGATAGTGCAACTGCCTTCATAAACCAGGCAGTTGCACTATCATGCATCAGAAGGATCAGACCTTGACGAAGCGACGTCCCACGAGAGAGTCGGAGCTTCTATACCAGGGGCTCACCGTAGACTGCACCAACGAAAGCAGGAAACAGCCCCAAGGGTAGCGGAGAGGCAGAGGAGGGGCGAACGGAAGGAATTGGTTGAAATGTTGAAATGCATAGCAAAGAGAGGAAGCGCCACTTCTAACTGCCTAGCCTGGGAGGACGCCTTACGTAACCTGGTGGAGAAATGTCGACGCTCCTTTTACGACAAGCCTACCACTATTCACACCAATCATCAACTCACGACATACTTATTGAGTGCTTTTCAAGATTTTGATTACGAATTAATTATTCGGTGACTATGGTAGCCTACAGAGCACAATATCGACGGAATCACCAAAGCGGTCGCCAATGCACTGTCGCCACGCTCTACCGGTCAAACATAGTTCCGGAAGTGCGCTTGCCTGGAACAGTTCTTGTTCCCTTCCCAAATTACTTTCTTCTTACTCCTTATGCACTTCCGCAGCAGCGGTTCTTGACCAGCTCTGCAGCGAAAGACACGAGTAGAGCCACAGCGTCGCCATACATTTTTTGTGGGATACAACGAACCGTGAACTCAGCCATTTACACCACCCAGCTTCGCGTCGGATGTACGGACGTATTGCGCAAAGTGAACTACCATGATCTGGCGTGTCCTGGCGGGGTCAAGATAACAATGGAGTGATTAGCCTTTCGTTAACCTCTAGTATGCCCGTTAGTCGAAGAGTACGTCCTCAGTTTTCCGGAGTGCCCGCAGCTGGAACCGAGGAAAACTACCATTATTGTTGCATTATTGCAAAGTCATTGAATATTTAAACGAATCTGGAGGTACTATCCATTGGCGTTCGTAGTCCATCGGCTAGAAGCTGTGATAACAGTTACTTTTTTATGGATTGGCTCAGTTAATATTTCCATTTCATCGTATGTTCGGCCCTAGCCATATCGCTGAGCGTGGCTCGATTATTCATTGACTATCCTTGCATACGCAGTGGATTTCCGGGTGTTACCTCACCATTAACGCTGGTTTGCTGCAAAGGTGTAGGTAATCCCTAAAACTTCCCCGAGTTTTCCTTACCAAATAGCAGCAACATCCTTGTGAATACGAAGAGCTAGAGGAGACAGATGAGGAGACATGGGAGCGGCGACGCGCAGAGGCCACAGAAAACGGGAATATTATGCTAAGTGGTTGGGAGGCCGACGACCCGAGTGGGATTCTGAGAAATTCTTGTGCGAGGCAATATCCCAGGAGCAGTTGTCTGCATGCTTCGACCCAGAGGCGGCGAAAACGTGCGTAATACTGCTCGGTGCAACAAAAATTTGGGTCGCTTTTACCGTTTGGTGGCAATCATTGTGCGAATTGCAGCGAGGCGCTACCAGATAAGTGCTCTCCGGCGCAAGTGATGTTCCTGCTATGGCCATTCCCTCTACCTATGGATAATTCCGCGCCTAAGCATCAAACCTTTCATTTTGCCATTTTTCGGAGCGGGGCCCCCCCTGGGGGGCATACAGGACCACCGCTTCACGTGCTCAATGATGGTGCGCGCCGGAGGCTTTTCATGGCATATGTTCCATGAGGCTGGGATGACTACATTAGAGCGTGGCCCTCAATCAAGGCGAACGAGTCAGAGCACCGTTCATGAAGGGGTCTACAGCACCCCCCCTACAAGATGCCGCTCGGGAACAGCGGCAAAAAATCAAGCATTGGCAGATGCGCTAGCTCCTGTTTTTCTTCACCTTTTCTCTCTTCCTTTGCAGCTGTCGGCTTCTGGTTGCTTTCGCGACCTTCTTCCCCTCCCACGACGCATCGGCACAACCAGGGACATGACCGTTTTGGGGAAAGGGGACCCAAAGCGTATCGAAGTCTGTCAGTGTGTGGGCACAGCGGCCCAAGGGCCTGTAGCTGGACGAGAGGGGCGGCCTGGGAAGTGTTGCAACGCGCCTCTTTGGAACTAGTTGTGCAAGGGACCTTTAGTTGCAAGCACAACCAAACACTCTTCTGCTGTCTGCGCACACTGCAGAGGATTGTTGCGCTTCTTCCAGCGTACAGGCTACCTACTGAGGCCAAGTAAGTGTTCATGTGCCAACTTGGGACACACCATGCAACAACAACTGTCCTTTGTTAAGATCGGCGAGCGTCGCAACGCTACACAGAGCCCCCATCCTACGATTTACGCCCACTCGCGTATTCCGGTGAACTACTCGGAAAGTGATTGCACTTGTATCCTGATGCACAGCGAGGGTTCTGCAAGTAAATGCATGCATCTCATGCTGTAGCTGCTGGCGTGTTCTGTTGAAGTGCAACTCCGTGCATACCCCGTTCCGTTTGTGGAGAGTATTTGACATCACTTCCCTCCCCTAACTAGGAAATGTCGTGTATTGGGGCTCGTACTCGTTTATATGCATATCAGCAACAGAATGCCTGAAGATGCAATGGGCAGATGCAGTTGTATGGAGCGATTTGTTTGTTTTGTAGCACCGTGAACGAAGTCCCCTTGGTGGGGGTGTGGCCGCTGGAGGGGGTTGGTGAAGACTGGCGCGAGTGGCGCTGAGTAATTCGCTGCTTTAATGCAATTTACCTCTTTTTTTAATTGAAAAGTTGGGGGCCGAGGCAAGAGATGTTGTTGCTGCCTACGCCCGAGTGTCTGTGAGGTAGACGGGCGGGTGACCGGCAGCGGGAGCCCCACAGCTGCGGTTTAAAACTCTGAAAATCAATTATTCATGAAGAAGACAAGTTGTTTTTGTGCGTTTTACCAAGGCAGCTAGAGTGTCTTCTTTATCGCGCAGTGTCGGGGCGTATGCACACCCCTCGCACTGGGACCCAGTGCTGGGGTAGCCATTGAATGCCGCTTCCCTCTGCGTGGTTTTACGGTCTTTTGCGGCCTTATTTTCTGTGCTCTTCATTCAAAAGGCATCCTGCTAGGGTTTTGCATTTCGAGTTAAGTGCATTTAGGGTGGCTAGAGGGCAAAGAAAGAACAAGGAGAGTTGAGAGGGAACGCACAGGAGAACGCGGGCCCTCCGTCTCCTGTCTTCGAATGGATTTGTTCCCCTTTATGGGGGTCTGTGGTTTAGGGTTTGGGGTTTGTAGATTTAAGTTATTTCTCGTGTTTTCCTGCACAGAAGGTCCCCCCTGCTACCCGAAGCAGTGCGTCTGCTGCGAGGGCGCCCCCCGGTCTAGCCCTCCTCTCTGTTTGCTGTAGGCGTTCCCGCCTCCTCATAGCCCTCCTCTTTCCACTGTATAAGGTGCAGCATTAAACGCATTGTATTTTTGCGTGTGGGTTCGGCGGAGGTTGGCTTGAAGAGGATCAGAGGCGGCTCCCCCCACCTGCTCGGGTGTATCGACAGGTACGCGGCGTCTTCCTAGCACTCCCTCACTGCACTGTATATGCGCGACATTCAGAAAAATTCATCTCTCTTTTTTCTTAATTCTTCCGTGGCCTGTCATTATGTGTGGGCCTCCTTTCCCCTCCACCTCCCCTCTCTCTGCCTCTCTCTCCCAGCATCTCCTCAGTGTTGCTCTTGCTGCTGCAGCAAATGCTGTATCGGGGCCCCTGCGTATCTTCGGTGGCTTTCTTACCTCTGCCTAGGCTTTTAAGAACATAATCTTTGCAAGGGTCTTGTGTTTTGCTAGCCCCCACTGCTTCTTCTGTTCTTCTGTATCCGCAGCAACCGAAACGCCAGCCCCTCCTCTAGTAGGCGGCCCAGGTGACGCCTTACAGTTGGCTGAAGAAAACGATGGTGAGGCAGTAGCAACAGCAGCAGCAATATCAGCAACAACAGCAGCAGAAACAGCAGCAGCAGCAGCAATGTGTGAGCCGGAGCAACAAGATATCTTCTGTGTTGTTGTCTGTTGGTGGGCCCCCGGCATAGAAGGGTTTTGTGCAGTGCTGTTGTTTGTTTGCATTTGTCTGTAGGACCCGCAGCAACAGCAGCAGCTTCTGCTGCTCGCTAAGGAGGTTGCAGCACTGCCCGACGCCCGGCCGGCTCCCGCAGTTCAGCAGCAGCAGCAGCAGCAGCGACAGCCTCTGTCAAGATTCTCTGTGCTTGTTGATGCAGTGCTTGCCGCTGCAAATGCACCGCAGAGTAGCAGCAACAGACAGCTGCTGCTACAACTAGTGGATGTACTGTCTACTGCTCTGACGCTGCAGCAGCAGCAGCAGCAGCAGCAGCAGCAGGCCCAAAATTCTCCTTTGACCCCAGGGGAAGTGGACGCTGTGTTTGCTGCAGTGGAGGCAATGGCAAAGCAGCAGCTGCAGCAGCTACAGCAGCTTCAGCAGCTACAGGAGCAAGAGCAGCAGAGCCTACCACAGCAGCCGCAAGAGCAGCACCATCACGAGCTGAGATTATTGACTAATGAGTTTGAATTTCCAGAAAAGCGACAGCAGCAGCAGCAGCAGCAGCAGCAGCGACAGCAGCAGGGGCTGCCTCAATTGCCTGAAGATTTTGAATCCCCCAGTCCGCCTGTGTCTGCGGCAACGTCCGCAGCAGCAGCCGCAACAGCAGCAGCAGCAGCAGCAGCAGCAACACCGGCAGCACCTGCAGTAACCCTGCAGCAGCAATACAAGCCGCTGCCTATCCGCACTTTTCTTGAAAATGTCTACAGGGGCCCGGTGCTGCCGCAGCACACCGAGACAGCTTTGGCTTTCGGTAGCAGCAGCGAGAGCGACAGCGAAGAAAGGCGACAAAAGAAACGAAAGAAGGAACGCAGAGTCAATGCAGCAGCAGCAGACGCTCTGTGGCATCCCCACTTCCATCCCCACAATCAAGTACGACGCGCATTATCCATGCATGCATGCAGAAATGCATGCATGCATGTGGTGCATGCATTTCTGCATGCATGCATGCATGCATGTGGTGCATGCATTTCTGCATGCATTTCTGCATGCATGCATGCATGCATGTGGTGCATGCATTTCTGTATGCATATCTGCAAGCATTGTGTTTTTGCGACTGTTTTTATGAATATGTCTGCATGCTTCTGTGTGCATTTGCATGCATGCATGCAAATACATGCATTTATATATATATATATATATATATATATATAAATGCATATATGTGTGTACAGGAATTTCGGGTGCGTTATCGTTACAAGGGTTCAATGCGTTTGAAGACATTATCGTGCTCTCGTTTTGGAAGAGAGGGGGCGAAGCTGTTGACTGGGGCTTTCGTAGCTCGCTGGGAAGCAACAGGAAGAACAGTTGCTGAGAGGACAAACCGTAGCCGATTGGCTTTAGCAGATCTACCTGAAGATACAGCGCAGCTGCCTGCTTATGCACGCAAAAGAACCGATAGTAATCTAATACTTCCCCTTCTATTCATTAACTTCTCTATTAATACAAATCATACTCTATTCAAATATTAATATATCTACGCCGTTGCTGTGCAGAAATAAACGCAGACGAATACACACAATGCAGTGCACATAAAGACACACGCAGAAACAACAACACAAATATATATATATATATATATGTATATATAAATGTATATGTATATGTATATGAATATGTATATGTATATGTATACTTATATATACACTTAACGAATATATATGTATGTATGTGTGTACTTGCATGCGGGCGGTTGGCTACACGTGCAGTGGAATGCACTCAAATGCAGTTAGAGAGAGGGGGAGGTAGAGACAGATAAAGAAATATATATATATATATATATTTCTTTATATGGAGGACGGGGTGTGTGGGCGGTGCTTGCGTTGTCTCTTGTGCTCAGACAACCGTCACCAGCAGCCGACGCTCCAGCAGCGCCAGCAGCAGCAGCAGCAGCAGCTGCCCCCGCAGCAGCAGCAGTTGCCGCAGCAGCATGAGTTTCAAGAACGCGAACAGCAGCAACGGTTGCTGCTGCCTAAGACCCCGCTGCTGCAGCGGACCGCAGCAGCCATACAGCAGCATTTCGTACACCCTGTTGAAAATGCATTTGGTGAAGACAGCTTGATAACTGCTGCATTAGATGGGGCCCCTGCGAACGGCAAACTTCTCCGTTCCCAGGGCCTCTGGGGCCTCCAGGGGCCCCCACAAAGGGGGGCCCCCGCTTCTTGCTCTGTAGAAGATATCTCAGGCCCCTCCCCTACATCTACACTTACTCCTTCCTGCTCTTCAGTGAGTGCAAAGAGCCCAGCAAGCCCTGATCAGTGCTCACGTGAGGGGTTGGACGCCCTATGGGCTGGGGGCCTCGCAGCAGGGGGGGGCCCCCATGGGGGCCCCTATCCTAGCCAAGCAGAGGAGGTGGCGAGGACCCTATTGTCTCAGAAACGGCCGAAGGCCTTAGCAAGCTTGCCCAGAGAGCTGATTAGCTGCCCTCCCGCCGCTGCTGCTGCTGCTGCTGCTGGCAGCATCAGCAGCAGCAGCAGCATCAGCAGCAGCAGCAGCATTTGCAGCAGCAGCAGTAGCAGTAGCACCAAACAAACTCCGCCTTTAACGCGTAACGGCGCGAAGACAAACAACGGGGGGCTGATAGATTTGGGTTTGAATACAGATATCTTGCAATCGCTGCTCAGCATGGGGGTACCTCAGGGGGGCCCATCATCTAGAGATGGTGGGTGGCCCTCTGGGGGCCCCTGGGGCCCCAAAGGGGCTTCACGTGGAGGGGGCCCCTGGGCAGTGCTTGCGCCTGCTCCGCCTGTAACGCCTACTACTAGCGACACACGAGGAGGCTGCCAGGAAGGAGGGGAGGAGGATCTGCTGCAGCAGAAGCAGCAGAAGCTGCAGAGGGCGGCCTTGCTTCCTCTCGATTTGCTGCAGCAACTGGGCCAGGGAGCCCCGGTTGCTGAGGAGACGAAGCAGCCGCAGCAGCAGCAGCAGCAGAAGCAGCAGCAGTGGCAGCAACAGGAGAAACAGAAGAAACAGGAGGGAGGAGAGCAGAAGGATCCTCTCAAGCTGCTGGAGGCTGCAGCAGCAGCAAAGCTGCAGCGGCCTTGTACATCAGAAGAGCTGTCGCTTGTGCTAGAAGAAGTCCCAATGAAGAAAGCAGGGGGGGCCCCCAACAAGGTGGGGAGCCCCTCTCCTTTAAATGAAGCTGCTGCAGCGCAGGAAACTGGAGGTAAGGGGTGTCTCTTGCATTATTTCTGCTGTTGCTGCTGCTGCTGCTGCTGCTTCCGCTGCTCTCGTCTCCTAAGCATTAGCGGCGCCTTTTGCGGGCTACCGCAGCAAAGCAAGAGTAAGTAGCAGCAGCGAAGGTGTTTACATATGTTTCCTTTTCTTTTTCTGCTGCTGCTGCTGCTGCTGTTTGCTGCAGGCGGAGTGCCCCCTAGTGATGTTTTGGGAGATCTGATATTCCAGGCCCGAAAGAAAGGAGGGGGGGCCCCCAGCAGCAGCGGGTCTGCGGGGGCTGCATCTTTTGTCTCCTTCGGCCGCCTGTGAGGTCCTCCTATTGTTCTTGTGCTGTCTTTTGAGCAGTTGCTGCTGCTGCAGTTGGTGCTACTGCAGTTGCTGCTGCTGCTGCAGTTGCTACTGATGCAGTTGGTAGTACTGCAGTTGCTGCTGCTGCTGCAGTTTGTGCTGCTGCAGCTGCTGCTGCTAAGTTGTGAAGCAACGGCAAATGCTGCTGCTTCGGGAGAACGGCCTGCCCTAGGCGCCGCTCCCTTCCATGCTTGTTACATAGTACTGCGCGCTGTCTGGTCGAAGGCAGCATGCACCTGCTGCTTCTTCAAAATGAGATGCAGCACTTCGCTGGGCTGGCTAGCTGGCTACCTGGCTAGCTCGCCCAGCTAGCTATAGCTAGCTCGCCCCTAGCTAGACCTACAGCTGCTGGCTGCAGCTAGCTAGCTAGTGGGCTCGCTTGACGTACTAAAGGCGAGCTATACCGCGTCGCCTTCGCAAGCTGGCTGTTATCAACGTCCGGGTGTACAGACGCTCAGCAAGAAGGCGGGGTGGGTCTTGTATAACGAACAGCTAGCTGATGATCCTATGGGCAAGCTAGCTGGCTGCGAATAGCTAGCCAGGAGCTTGTTATGACTTGTGGGGCCTCCCCAACTACACACAAGAGAGGCCGCCGACGAAAATGTGTTGAAGGCTTTCGTTCCCTCGCTCGCTGGCGAGCTGGCTAGCTAGCTAGCTAGCTAGCGAGGGGGAGAACTGCTAGCCAAAGGAGCTGTAGGCCTGGTTTGACCGAAACGCCTTATTAGGGCTCACGCGCCCATGTAATGGGGGCCCTCTCATAGGGGGAGCCCCTTAATAAAATATGTGATGTTTGCTTGATATATATATATATATATACACATGACGGCCTCTGTCTAGATAGAGAGCCGTCTCGGGTGTCTCGCCACCTCGTGTGGGTAGACGCCTGTCTTTGTACTGCGGCTAATAAAAATTTCGTTGGCCTTTAAAACTTGGGACTTGCAGATGCACTTTAAAAGCAATTTCACTCAGCTAGCTGCGCAGGCGCGCTGCTGGTTAGCTGCTGCATTGAAGCCAGCTAGCCAGCAGCATTCCCTACAACAACCTCGGGGCCTGCTGGCTAGCGGCGCGACTAAAGAATTTGTGAGAGTGGTGTGACGCTGCGCAATTAGTCAGCTAGCTAGCTAGACAGCCAGCCAGCTTCAAGAGTAATTAGCTAGCTATATCTTTTTCGACAGCTAGTTCGCTAGGTTATACAGGTAGCTATCCATCTAGCTATCTGCTTAAGCAGGCAGCTAGCTAGCTAGTTATTTAGCTAGCTAGCTGGCTTTTGCGCAGGGGCAGACGGTAACAGCTACACCTACAATCAGCCCAATGAGAAGGAGACTCGCGAGGACATACTTGAAAATAGTCGAAGCCCCAACTTTGCCCCCTGCACCAGGAGATTCGCCTCCGTGTTCAGGTGTAGATATACCATCGATTTCTTCATTGCTTTCTCTGCTTATTCTTATTGCTGCTGCCTTTTGTTCTTCTGTAGCATTTGCTGGTAACTCCAACAGAGGGGCCCCCAGCTGAGGTTCATTTCCTTCGCCTGGGGCGTGGCTGACTAGCTGCGCAACGCACACACAGAATGCAGGCAACTGCATGCAGATCTACTGTTCTCCCCACACTACTAAGACACCCCACAAACAACTCAACACAACACACATCCCCTAGCTAGCAGCTAGCTAGCACCGAGCTAGCTGCTAGCTGCACCATACAGACCCGGGGCAGCCAGCAAACGGGGAGCTCCTATGAGAGCTCCCCTAGGTCTGCTGCGCAGCGGAAGATAGTTGAAGGGGTGTACAGGCAGTAATTGAGGTGTACATACACTCGCTGAGGTGTACATACAGTCGACTGAGTGTAAATACAGTAGTTAAGGTGTACATAAAGTCGATGACACATTCATACACTCGATGAGGTGTACAGACACTAGATTAGGTCTACATACACTCGATGAAGTGTGCATTCATACACTCGATGAGGTGCACATACACCCCAGCGCATTGACTTACAGCGAAGTCATGCCAAGAGGGAGCTGCAGCGAAGTTGCCGCTTTCGTCGTTAAAAAATTTAGCGTGGGTTTCAAAAAAGCGAGAGAGAGAAATGCCTAAGAAAGAAACAAAGAAAGGAGACACCTCAGGATATAACAAAGGAGACAGCAAAATAATAATAATAATAATAATAATAATAATAATAATAATAATAATAATAATAATAATAATAATAATAAATAACAATAGTAAATAATAATGATAAAAATAATAATGAAAATAATAATAATATTAAAAAAAGAATAACAATAGCAGAGAGCGATCAGCACCACACCCCCGTCCTCAGCAGCAAAGCTGCAGGCGGGCAGTCTCTATGAATGGTGTTTGCTTTCTTGTTCGTGTCTGCTGCTGCTGCTTTCGCTGCTGCTGCTGCTGCTGCTGCTGCTTGTTTGGTGTAGCTGCTGCTACTGCACTCACGTCTCAAGTCTAAGTCCATCGGCTTCTTTTGAATTGACTTTAATAACTCATCGAATTCAAATGGACTGCCAGTTGGCGACGAAAAACCTAGAAGCAAAATCCTGTGGGGCAGCGCCGCTGTACATACACCCCACACCCCACACTTCAGCGAAACGTAATTCTCTGTCTTAACAACAACAACAACTGTAGTTGCATTTCTTTATAATCTGTGTATAGGAGAGCACTCAAGAAGACATCATGATGCACTTAAAGCCACTCTCTCTCTATCTCTCTTTGTTTTTTTCTCGCCTTCTCCCTCCCCTTTCCTTCTATCGAGCGGCCTAAGACAGCTTAGAGAGAGAGCCCTCACTGTAGCCAGCTAGCTGGCTAGCTATACACCCAGCTAGCTAGCTATATACACAGCTAGCTGGCTAGCGATAGACCAGACAGCTAGCTAAATACTACCCAGCTGACTATGCACGTAGCTAGCTAGCTAGATCATCAGCCAGCTAGCTAGCTATCTGTATATGCCCAACTAGCTGTCCGTTTGCCCAACTAGCCATAAGTAGACCCAGCTAGCAAACTGTGCACCCACATAGCCATATGTCCCCCCAGCTAGCTATCGGTATATCGAATTAGCTAGCTAGCTAGCTAGCTAGTCATTTGTATACCGAGGTAGCTATCTGTTGGGGTATATTTGCATTAGTTGATTGAGCACGAAGAAACGCTTACCAGGCGAAGGCTGTCTGATGAGCCACTGAATTTTGCATGCGTTTTCTGCCTTTACAGAGCAGGCTCGGGGTTTTACTGTAAGCTGAATTAGACGAACATCTGTTCCTAAAGAAGGGTCGTCTAAGTCAACAGCAAGAAATATATCTTTTTCGCTTAAAACGCTAGGCTCTTCAGAGACACCCCGATATAATATACCCGAAGGCGAAGACGCCAATCGCTCAAAATCTGATGAAGATAAACGCAAACCCCTAACAAACAAAACAAACAAACAAAACAAATACAAATAAATAAATAAATAAATAAAAATATATATATATATATATGGAAATGCAGAAAGGCAATGTACACATTTATTCAACAAGACTACAACTGAGTGATACATTAAACAAAACAAACAAAGACAAAAACATAAAAGGAGACAATGCAGAGGTAAGCAGACAAAAAATTATTTTTTCGTCTGTCTCCATTTTGTCTCTTTTCTGCTTATTGTCTCTGAGGTAATCTATTAAAGCCTTCTTCTGTCTCATGTATATATATATATTATATAATATATATGCGTATATTATATATATTATATATATTATATAGAGTATATATATATGTGCATATATATATATATATATATATATATATATGTTATGCCTGTCTCTGTCTCTTTGTTTCTGCTTGGGTAATATCTGTTTCTGTAGATTCAGCTTCTTTCAGTAAGTATTATTTACTTCAATATAATTGTTTGTTTGTTTGTTTGTTTGTTTTTGTTTGTCTCACCCGTCGAATTCAACAGTAAAATGACTCTTGCCTACTTTGAAGGGGGCCCCCAGCGCTGCCAGTCTTTCATTTATTGCGTCTCTCCCTAAGCCTCGCGAGGGCCCCTCAGCCTCTATATGCTCTTTCATAATAGGCGTCATTAATTCTTCTTTTTTTACTACTGACACTTCTTTTAAATGACTATGAACCCCCTCAGCACCTGCAGCAGCAGCAGGGGCCCCTGAGGGGGCCCCTGCTCCTCCAGGCTGCTGCTGTTGCTGCTGCTGCTTCTGCTGCTGCTCAGAAGTAGAAGCACCGGAAGGGGGCCCCTCTGCCTTTGACTCTGCAGCAGATTCCGCTGCTGTTGCTGCTGCAGCTTCAGAAGCAGACTCTGCTGCTGCTGCTGCTTCTCCTGGTTGCTGCGGTGTCTCCTGCCTTGATGTTTCTGCTTCCTCCGGCTCTCCCTGCTCCCTTTCAGAAGCACTATACTCGCCTTCTGTATTCAATTCAAAACAAACAAAAAAACATACTCTTAAAAGCATAGCAAACGCAGCAGCAAGCAGGAGACAGCGCAGGCTACCACAGCAACAACACCAGCAGCAGCAAAAAAAAACTGTAAGGTAGCAGCAGCAGCAGCAGCAGCAGCAGCAGCAGCACCATAGACGATGTCTGCGCCATGAATAGGAGCAGCAACAAAGGCACCAACAGCAGCAGCAGCAGGAGCAGCAACAGCAGCAAGAGTAGCAGCAGACAGCCAAACGAATAATCACAGGAAGGTATACCTGCTGCAGTTGCTCCCTCTGCACCGAATGCATGCGGCTTTATCGGGACATCCTTTTCATATTCTTTATCCTCAGGCTCTTCGTTTGTAAAGGCTACTGAACTTTCCACTGTAAGAACCAAGCACAAACCCTAAACCCTAAACCCTAAACCCTAAGCCCTAGACCCTAAACCCTAGACCCCAAAGCACAAACCCCATCACATATATTCATAATCCTGTCTAGAAGCGCCGGACACAAAAGGAAGAAGCTTCTGATGCCTGAGTTGCTGCTGCACGCCTCCCATGGCTCGCTGCAACAGCAGCAGCAGCAGCAGCAGGAGCAGCCTTCTGCCGTTGCAGCAGCAGCAGCAGGAAGCACAGCTGCGGCTTACCAGTGGAATCTGTAGGCTTATTGTTTGTTCGAAGTGCAGAGGCAAAAGAAGGAAGAAAAGAAACAGAAAAAGCTAAATATAGACAACTAACGAGAATCACCAGGGGCAGCCAAGCAACACCCCGGCGGGGTAAAGGCACCATATTCATCATTTTAAGGCTTTAAATCATTGAAATAAAGAAGTTAAAAGAATAAAACAGTAGAAATAAAGCAAATAAACACAGATAAAAATACAAACAAAGAAGATATACAGCCTACAGCCGCAGCAACTGCTGCCTTCGCTGTCTAAGTCGGCAGCACTTCAAACCTTCAGCTGTCTGTACAGCCGATGCAGCTTTCTTTGTTTTTCTTCATTGTATATTTTAAGCATATTTTCCCCTTTTTTGTGCTCAAATAAAGCATATTTAATTGTTATTTTTATTTCTTTTTCTCACCATACAAAACTAACTCAAGACTATACGCCTCAGCGGCCTTACAGCCATTGACTGCCCTCGCGAGCCTTCAATCCATACCCCCCAAACGTACTTCAGAAAAGATATCTTCTTGATTAAATTAAAAAATTGAATAAAATTTAATTGTATTAATTTAATATACTATTAAAATCTTCTTTTTCTGAGTTATTTGCGAACAAACAAATCCACCGCAGCCCTCGCTATACCGCTGCGCCTACAGCCACTGCAGCCTTGTTGAATTTTTCAGTATTTGTTTGTTTGATTTTAATGAATTTCTTCCCGGGCTTGTGCTTCGCGCTTAACTCCAATTGCAGTGAGGCAATATACATATACATATATGTGTATACATATTTGTATATACATATATATAATATATATATAGATCTGCCTTCAGGATGTAACGACAGGCCTCCTAGTTGTTGTTTTTTGTGTACAGAAAAGAAAAACAAAATGCATAAAAAGCAGAAGGCGAAATCTCCGCATTCTAACGCCTAAACCCTAAACCCTAAACCCTAAACCCTAAACCCTAAACCCTAAACCCTAATTCCCCAAACCCTAAACCCTAGCCCGCAAACCCCGATCGACGGGGTCCTTTTCCTATATTGAAACAAAAGACAAACACAGGTGCAGCCCCATTCTGCATGCATTGCAGTCTTCTCCTCCAGGCCCTCTCACGAACAAAACGCGAGAAGAAGTACAACATCAATCTCTTATCTATTGTCTTGCGCTGTTCAAAGCAAAAGGAAGTAAAGAGAAGAAGCGGAAACGAACAAAGAAGAGAGGGGGCAGACAGAAGAAGAACATATGCAATAAAGTTTATCTTCGTCTATGCATGCATCAGAAGCTCTTCATATATACTTTTTCTTTACCGTAGCATTCATTTAAATAATGAAGCCAAAAACAAAAAAATTAGTTGTATATGACTCAACCAATCCTTCGTTCTAATACACCTATTTATTTATTTATTCAAAATATACTAAACAAAATAAAATATCTTTTTGTTTTAGTTAAGGGCTGTAAATGCATGCACAGCCTCCAGGCCTAATAGAAGCGGTTCTTCTACCCGTTGATGCGAACGCTGAGGTGTACGTACACCCCAACATACCTTGACGAAGCCTCTCTCGAAGCCTCTCTAAACTCAGACAAGCCCTCCTCACCTCCCCAGTAGATACAAGAGAAACCAGCATATATATTTTACATCAGCGTATTTGATTTAACCTTTCAAATGCATTTGCAAGAAAACTGCATTAGACATCTGCCTATACAGCTCAGCTTTTGCTGCATTTGTTTGCTTTTAGCTAAAGACCAATGAGCACTTCTATTTATCAAAGCAGTAAAATAAAGAAGAATTCAAAGTCTTAATGCAAAACATCTCTAATGTGGAGACCTCTTCACAACATCTTCACAGGTAAACAAACAAAAACTCGTAAGCCACATATGTTGTATATATATTATATATATGCGCATATAATATAATAAAATGTATAACATAAATATATAAATATATATATATATATATATATTTCATATAAATATTACATAGTATATACATACATAATGCAGATAGAGTTCAATATGCATCGATAGACAGGGCAATCGATACATACGCATCCGCGGTGAATAAACATACTCCACAAACAAACATATATATATATATATCTATATATCTATATATATATATATGCATACATATATATATATATATATTTATATACTTGGGCCAATACAACTATATATGTATACATATCTACATACTATATATATATATATATATATATATAACTACATACCTAATATATGTCTATATACATCTACATATATATATATATATATACATATATGTATATATGTATATATATAAGCAGCAAGAGTGTCTATAGGCTGTCTGCTCGGGGAGAAGCGCTGAGTGCAGGAAGAGGTATATAGGTAGACAACTTGAATTGTTTTGGTTTGGCTGATGTTAAATAAACAAAAGACAGAAAAGCCGCTAAGAAAGATCTCACAAACGACTAACCCGAGGAGCTGCAACTCTTTTACGAGGAGCCTCGCCGTTCTGTCTTGAGCACAAAGTATTAAAACCAAAATATAAATAATATATTATATATATACCGGAGTATATATTTATATGCATATATACATACATACATATATATATAAACTATATATATAACTATATATATACTATATACATTTATATTTCTTTATATTTATATAATAGGGTGTTACTTCCCCATTGTGTCTGCAGTACATTTCGCAGACGCCCTCTCTTCTTTTTTTTTATATATTTTAAAATAGATTTCTTTAATATAATGATGATGATTAAATGCATGCAGCACAACTGTAAAGCCCTCTTCTTGCTTAGAATTCAGCGTGGCCGGGGTAACGAGGATAAGGAATTGTATCTCTGATATTTTCAATCCCTGTTAGAAGCATAATAAGACGTTCAAAGCCTAACCCAAACCCTGCATGCGGTACTGTACCGTATTGACGAAGCTCTCTATACCACCAATAGTTATCTAAGTTAAGATTCTTTTCTCTAATCATGCTATCAAGTTTACTGAGATCTTCTTCTCTTTGACTCCCTCCAATTAACTCTCCTATCTTGGGCACTAATACATCCATTGCTCTTACTGTCCTTCCGTCTGCATTTAACTTCATATAAAATGCCTTTATATCTTTAGGATAATCATATACAATAACGGGTTTCTTTGCTACTTGTTCTGTCAAATGTCTCTCGTGCTCACTACCCAAATCCATACCCCATTGCACTTTTTCTGAAAATGTTACACGACCTTCAGCTTCTTCTTTCTGAAGTAGAGACACCGCATCCGTGTATGATATTTTATCAAAAGGAGCAGATAATATATTTTCTAGACGACTTCGCAGCCCCGGCTCTTGATTCTTTTCAAACCAGTCTATCTCTGCACATACACACACATAGCAGAAACAATAATATACACACCAATACGCAGATATATATATATATATATATATATATATATATGTTTATGTATACATATGCATACGTATATATATATACATATATATGCATATAAAAACATATACATATATAGATACATGCATACACACATACATAACATACATACATTCATGCATCACATACATACATACATGCACATATATATATATATATATATAT